GCCAGAATCTCTGAGACACAGACAAAGTAGTGTTTAGAGGGAAATTTGTAGCACTAAATGACCACAGCAGAAAGCAGGAAAGATCTAAAATGAACACCCTGTTGTCACAATTAAAAGAATTAGAGAAGAAAAAGCAAACAAAATCAAAAGCTAGCGGAAGACAAGAAATAACTAAGATCAGAGCAGAAGTGAAGGAGCTAGAGACACGAAAAACCCTTCAAAAAATCAATGATTCCAGGAATTGTTTTTTTGAAAATATTAACAAAGTAGACAGACCACTAGCCAGACTAATAAAGAACAGAGAGAGAAGAATCAAATAGACACAACAAAAAATGGTAAAGAGGTATCACCACTGATCCCATAGAAACACAAACTACCATCAGAGAATACTATAAACACTGCGACACAAATAAACTAGAAAATCTAGAAGAAATGCATAAATTCCTGGACACATACACCCTCCCAAGACTAAACCGGGAAGAAGTCAAATCCTTGAATAGACCAATAACAGGTTCTGAAATTGAGGCAGTAATTAATAGCCTACCAACCAAAAAGAGCCCGGTACCAGACGGATTCACAGTTGAATTCTACCCGAGGTACAAAGAGGAGCTGGTACATTCCTTCTGAAATGATTTCAAACAAAAGAAAAAGAGAGACTCCTCCCTAACTCATTTTATGAGGCCAGTATCATCCTGATACCAAAACCTGGCAGAGACACAACAAAAAAGTAAAATTTCAGACCCGTATCCCTGATGAACATCAATGTGAACATCCTCAATAAAATACCGGCAAACCAAATCTAGCAGCACATCAAAAAGCTTATCCCCCACGATCAAGTCAGCTTAATCCCTGGGATGCAAGGCTGGTTCAACATACAGAAATCAATAAACATAATCCTTTACATTAAACAGAACCAATGACAAAAATCACATGATTATCTCAATAGTTGCAAAAAAGGCCTTCAATAAAATTCAGCACTCCTTCATGCTAAAAACACTCAATAAACTAGGCATTGATGGAATGTATGTCAAAATAGTAAGAGCTATTTATGACAAACACACAGCCAATATCATACTGAATGGGCAAATGCTGGAAACATTCCCTTTGAGAACTGACACAAGACAAGGATGCCGTCTCTCACCACTCCTATTCAACATAGTATTGGAAATTCTGGCCAGGGCAATCAGGCAAGAGAAAGAAAGAAAGTGTATTCAAATAGGAAGAGAGGAAGTCAAATTGTTTCTGCAGATGACATGATTGTATATTGAGAAAACCCCATTGTCTCAGCCCAAAATCTCCGTAAGCTGATAAGCAACTTCAGCAAAGTCTCAGGATACAATATCAATGTGCAAAAATCACAAGCATTCCTATACACCAATAACAGACAAACAGACAAGGTCATGAGTGAACTCCCATTCAGAATTGCTACAAATAGTATAAAATACCTAGGAATACAACTAACAAAGGTATGTGAAGGACCTCTTCAAGGAGAACTACAAACCACTGCTCAAGGAAATAAGAGAGGACACAAACAAATGGAAAATCATTCCATGCTCATGAATAGGAAGAATTCTTTGATTTTTTTTTTAAAGAAAAGATATTTATTGAGCTTTATAAAATTTGCCGGGGATGATGTCATTTGAGATTTTAAAAAAGAAAAAAGTCTGGCAAGGGTCTGGCCCTCACAGAGCTTACTTGTAGTATGTTAGACAGAAAATGAACAAGTGAAAAACAAAACAATTACAAATATTGTAAATTATATGAAGAAAATAATGATGTGTTAAAATAAGTAATTAACAGAGGGTGTGTTTCAGAAAAGGTAGTCCAAGAAAGAAAAAAAGGCTGTATTATTCCATAGACAATAAGAGAAAGAATTATTTTAGCTATCTGATTTATTTGCCCAATATTTATTTTTCACTTGTAGAAATGGCATTTCAGTCCCTTTGGGGAACGACCCCTCTCCCACTCTGTGTCTTAGGCCTGGATAGTCAATATTTTATACCTCAGGCTACAATACTGGCTTTGATTTGAGGAGGCACTTTAAACCCAAAGAAGAAAATGAAATTTAATTTCTAGCCTTTAATTGGATCTATAGGGAAAAAAACATTCTCTTCCCACTGGTATAACCTAGAAGGATGTGACTGTGGAACATCCAAGGGCCATGAGATGAGAACTGATTGAGAAAGGAGGGAGTCAGCAAAAACAGAGCCCAGGGAAGGCAAGAGGTGATGCAGATGGCATCATTTACCCATCTCTGTGCAGTCCTAAGATTCTCACTCACAGGATCCATTAAATGTTCCTGCACCCACTCTCTGTTATTTAAACCTAAGTTAATTTTGTAGATGAGTTTAGTAGCTGATACATCCAATTTGAGGCAAGGTAGGCTATCATATATTAGATTTGTCTCTTCGGTTGCTGTGATACTGGACTGTGCCTGTATCACTGGGAAGATTGTGGCAAAATTACTCTATCTCTCAATTTATCTACATAAGCATGTCTTAGTTTTAGCGATGAGGAGATAAGATATTTAAAGATGAGAGTATACACACACAGACCCAGAACCACACACACTGTACACATATTACAGTGTATGTATATCCAAAATATGTGTCTATGCAAATGCATACTATATATATATTATATATACAGTATACACACATGTTTGTATGTGTGTATATATGTGAATAGAATATTTACATGCATATATACAAACATACATATTATATAATAAATATACCTATACACATATTTAAACACATGCATATATGTGTGTGGATAGATAGAGATAAGGAGAGGAAGGGAAAGAGACTGATCCAAGTTCTTATTTAAATTTGGAGTTGGGAAAAAAAAGAACTCTCAAAGGAAACAGAGATGGAAGAGTAAAAGGGACAGAAGGATGTCTTCCAAAGTAAGGAAAGAAAGGTTTTATTATAGAATTGGTTGTTAAAGTTCTTCAGCATCTTCAGTGGTCATATCAGGATCTGCCATTATTTTCCATCTCTGATTCCCCACTCTACTTAGGTGTTCACTTTTGCTTCTACCAGTAGGCTGGGAGATGAGTCCCTGCTCTTAGCTAAAAACACTGGAAAGCACCCTTTGCCCCAGCATTGAGTTTTGCTAGCAGCGAGTCCTCAGAAGCTGCCTTTTAATACCCTGGGAAACAACATTTAGCTCTATATGCACTCTGCTGTCTGACATTTCTTGGACTTAACCTACCTTTCCTGATTCTAATCTGGTCTTTGGTTTCAGTGGCCATGTAGCATATGAACATGTGCTTGCCTAAAATTTTTGTTGGATAGATTTGTTTTATCCTAGGGATGAGTTGTCTGAGATTGACATCATCCAGCCTCTGGGGCTCCTGAAAATTGTGCCATGTATCCTGTAGCACTGATTACCTATTTGATCCTTGTGTTTGTTTAACCTTATGGCCTGGCTTGACCTGCAGGAGAACAAGGAGTAAAACAGATAACTACATTATTCTTGATCAACATTAACAATACAATTTCCAGAGAGTGGAGGCATTAGAAGCACTGAGAAACGTTTGATTTGTCACACATTCTAGATAATCTAAATACAAAAATTAGAACATAAAAAGCAATATTGTATGTTTCTTTACAGAAAGAACTGCAAGAAGTAAAGACTAATTTGCTGCATTAGTAGCAGGAGCAAAAAAATATGTAATGAAAACTTTCTGTTAGAAGCTCCAAAGTAGAGAATGGGTGTAGCCAGTTGCCAACAGGGAACAGAAAATTGATTGTGGCTTGTCAAATTGGAGGCGTATAATGCACAAGTTTCCCTCATTGAAAAACCTGATCACACTCCCATGTAATCTATATTTAAATCTTTCAGGAATAATGACACAAATATGCCCACCCCCGCTTGTTAAACTGTCAACTTACACTGAGCATACTCTATAGCTGTCAGACTGATCCATGGGCAGCCGCTGACCTGGAAAGCTGGACACAGAGATCCACGCTTGAAGTTGAGAATTAGACTTAGGGCTGGGTTGCAAAGAGAATATGAAACCGAGGTGCGTCAAGAAATTAGAAGTGAAAAGCAGTAGAAGATCAAGGCTGCGAAATTTCTCAAAAGCCGAAGACTACATGCAGTTGAAGGCCAAGCTGGGGCAGTCTGCAAAGCAGGCGAGTCATAAGGGAGGAGGAGACAATGAAGCAGACACAGATATGACACAGGCTGACTTCTTCATTGACTCCTCACTCTTAGAAGAGCCAAAACCTGATATCCGGGCAGGTATGAGGGCAGCCCAAATCTTAGGGCCTCAGGGCAGGCACAAGGGGGTTGGGCCTTTGGCAGTCTGATCTACTTCCGTCTCAGATGAATGTGAACGGGTATATAATACCTGATCCACTCAGCCAGGTATTTGATGCAAAAATGAATTAAACAAAAATTAATCAACCTTCATTTCTATTGAGTTTTTGTAGCAATAGCTCATATGCACAGATCTACTGTCCTTAGGTGTAACTTATTTTTCTTCATATTCCTAGGAATAGGAATATTCTTATATTTTAAGCGAAGGCATATTAGTTAAAGTAACCATTCATGTGCTAAGTGTCAAGTACTTTATATCACTTACTTTTTCCATTCTCTGAAGTTTGGCTTCTTATCCTCACATTAGGATGAGAGCTATTAACTTGTTTTTCCAAAGTTGTATCACTAGTAGTGGTAGATTCTTAGAAGACATGTGTTTTTGATTTCTCCCTCCAAAGGAATGTATATATGAAGTATGTATTTACATGAATACTCTGTATATAGTTTGTATATTTCAAACTTTCAAATAATCCTGACAAAGGGAAGTTAATTTACCATTTAATTGAGGCTTGATTAACACTGTTAAGGCAGCTGCTATTAAAAGAGTGGCTAATGTTTCATATAAAAAAAGTCAGGAATAAACTATGCATAGACATGGAAATAGGAAAGGAGCAGAACATAGCCTGTATGCTGTATGAAATTTAATTCCTAACCTTTGATTGGATCTACAGGGGACAAAACAGGAAGGATGTAATTGTGGAGCATCCAAGGGTCATGAGATGAGAACTGATGCCTGTATCCTAATGCAGAGACAGAAAAATAACCCTTTAATCATGAATTACTGGCTGCTCTGAATGAACATGATTGAGTAGAGGTTCCTCGGGTTGGAGAAGAGATGAAGAAGTGTACCCAGTCAATTGTACCCAGGTAACACCATACACCACTCTGACCATCACAAACAGCTATTTGAATTACTCAGCAAGCTCCCAACTCATTCTTTCAAAGCAGACCCTCACACTGGCTCAGTAAAAGAAATCGTTTGCTTAAAGATGATCTGGAGATAAATTGCTGCAATTACAGTTCAGATGCAGAATAGAATATACAGTACTTATGAGAGAGAATGACTTTTATTCCTTTGGGTATCCTGATTTGTTGTAACAGTTGTGAATTGTGATCTTCCTCTGATAATCTCAATCCATAGGACATTTGGGAGGGATGATGAGGCTTCCTTGATTCAGTCAAACTGGACCTATCTTACATTTTACTGGAGAATATAATTTTTTTTTTTTTTTTTTTTTGCCTGTGCCTGCACTCCTGTTGTGGTATTTTGAAATGGGTTTGTCTACATTTGCTAGTGGAAAATAACAGCACAAGGAGATGTTTGCTTAAATTAACATCTCTTCTTCTGCCCTATCCCTCTGTCTCCCAAATGCCATCCCCACAGTAGAATGACAAAGCAATGCAGCCATTCATAGTACCGAAAGATTTTGTTGAAGATATTTGCATATAAAAAGTACTAGACATTCTCATATGGAGAGGACAATATTAAACTTCATATATCTTTTATTACAAATTACATTAGCAATTATGATAATTCATATTTCTTTGGAATGCTTATATCTTGTGGGTACAGTTACCTGAAAGGAAAAAGGATGCATATACATCCTGGTTTTTCTTGAAATTGGTAGACTTATTCCACAACATTTATGGCTCCAACATTTATGGTTCATTATCATTCTTCTTATACTTTTCTGCCTCTTTAATAGCAACTGAACTCTGAGGAAATAAATGACTTCAGGATCCTTTTGGCCCTTTCTTAACACTGAATCTTGATGTTTGAAAATAAAATCTTGAAATACATATTCTGGATTTTAATGATAAGTCTTGAAATAGCTGTCCACTGTCTTCATTTCAGCATCTCAAATCTTTCAGTGCTATCTTTTCTTAACTTTTTTTTTTACAAAATGCAAAGCTAATATAGTTTCTCTTCAGTTTTTAGAAAAATTAACTAAGTTAGCCTCTTTTTACTACACTAATGGAAAGATATTAAAATTCAGTTGTTTTTTTAATGAATGAATAGACTTTGAATATTCCCTTTCCTACGCTAGCTTACAGTTATTGGTGTAAAGAAGTTCCCACTTGCTGCTTGCAAATATGTTTCTACTTGCCATTTTTAAATTACTGTTGCCTTTGGATGTGGGAGAATGTCTTCCTTTGTCAAAGTGGCAATAGGAGGCACAAGTGACAATCCCTTTTCCTTAAGATTTGGGACTGCACAAAGCTGTCAGTTTTTAAAATGACACTGTGGCACAGCCTTTCTTTAAGGTGATGCCTTTCATTTTTGACTCCTGCTGTTCCTGACAGTTGAAATGGCAGCAGGAGGTCGAAACTAAAGTAAGTTCTCTTGGCATTTGCCCTTAGGTAGAAATTAATAATAGAAGAAGCAGGCCTGTGTTTAAAAACAGTTAGTGTCAGATGTCACGCAATGGAATGTGACCAGTCCCCTAATGAGATGACCCAAACTGTCCATAATTTGCCAGAGCTAAACTTAATTCTCACACCTGCTTGCAATGTTAATCTGTGTTCTTATACTTAAAGAACATTCGATGTGTTCTGGAATATTATGTTCTGCTTCAAGAATGATGCCAAAAACTGCAACTGGATTTTTCACTAAACCCTAAATTACTTGTCTGCTTTGAATTTGCTAAATTATGCCTTGTTTTTTTTTTTTACTCTGTGTTTCTAATTTCTGATGAATTTATGTTCACATTTCTTCCCCCATACCCATTATTCACATTTTTTTCATGTAACAGCCTTATGTGATATCAGGTAGCTCTACTGATTCAACCTAAGCACTAACTGCATGTTTTTACAGATTTATTATAACTGTATGGACTCTTCTAGCTCAGTAGTTTATGTGTTGCTGAATTTTATTGCATCTCTACTTTGTCTGATGCATTCTAGTTCTGCACCATCAGCTGGTTTGTATATAGTATTTGCAATTCCTTTCTTTGTGGCTGGATACTCTATTCCCAGGGCCTGGGATCTGGACATACAATAGAATTTAAATGACCCTCTTCCAAATCCCACTTTGCTAGTTAAATTCCCATATTCAGCTCTGGGAATAAGCCAGGGCACTTAGCTATGTGGTTATGTATGAGATACATTCCATCTTTTTGCTCAATAAATTTTCACGTCAGTTCCTCTGGTATCTCAAAAATGCCTTAGCATGTACTTTAAACTCTTGCACAATCTCCCTTTCCTTGCCTGAGCTGATGTATATTGATTTATTTATCACTTCCTTAACTTCATTTTATAATCTTTTTAGCTCTCCCAAATGCCTCTTTCTCAAATTTGATTACTTCTTGTTTTTCTTATAGATCTATTTCGGTCCATTTTATTCAGGGTATTTTCCTTACTAGATGAGCCTCCCGATTCTTGGGCAAGATTAATTGTCCTTTAATAATTGCTATTTTTTGAGTTTTGTATACAAGTTATTGATTAAGTATATTTAATTTCATCTACTTTGAATCAGCTTCCAAAATCTGTTTTCTTTACACTGTTTACCCATTAACTGTTACCTTAGTGATAATTGATTATAGTCAGTATCTCAGCTGGTCCACTATTCCCAATCTGCCATTCACATTACTACAAAATAAGTTGGATGCTGTCCCATTTCATGTTAAGAAACAATATTTTCCCCACACCCACAAATAACTCACACATTTTTATTTTTAGCATTAGACATATTATCTCTGATATTTTGGTTCATAGGAATACACTGATACTTTCTCACCAGCTTCATTAAAATGTTCCCCATTGTCTATGTTTTTCTTTGTGTGTGTTTATATTTATTTATATATAAGCAAAGGCTACCTCACTATTTGTTCTAACACAGGATTTCCAAAACTTGATTATGTAGCAGAATCACATGGGGAGCTTTGAAAAATAGAGATTCCCTGGGATTTACTTCAAACTTGAGATCTGAATTTCCTGATAGAGGTCCCAAGAACCTATATTTGAATAAGCCTCCACTGAGAATCTTTGATGAGTCAGTCTTCTGATAGGCATTTGGAAACCAATATTAAATATTTCTCCATTTGAAGTTAACCTAAGTCCCATAGACAGGTTGTGAGTTTTTGTCTTTATTTTTGTTATAATAAATATAGAAATTGACCCTTCTGGTCTTAAAGCTTAAAACTCACTAGGTCCAGACAATGAGATGCCAGGTCCCTCAAAAAGTATGGAAGAACTGAAACTCACCAGATTATCACATCTAGACAATGAGACATCAGGCCCCTCATTCATCATGATTGTTCCTTACTCCTCCTGAGTTCCTGTTTTCGCACACATAGTTACAATTCTTCCCTGCTATAAAACCCCTAATTTTAATCAGAGAGATGGATTTGAGACAGATTTCCCATCTCCTTGGCTGTGGCACCAGCTGGAAGCCTTCTTCCTTGGCAATAACTGCTGTCTCAGCAATTGGCTTTCTCTGTGGTGAGCAGCAGGACCCAGACCGAACCCCTGGTGTTTCGGTAGCACATTTGGGACTAATTGTGTTTAAATGCTTGGGGTAAATGCAATAATAAAGATGGCAAAGCTGCCTATATTTATGAGGAGCTCTGTTTTGATCTTCTATTTGGTTTTCAGTCTGGCCTTTAGCTCTGCTATCTTTGAGGGCTGGAACGTCAGCTTGTTCACCCACTAATTCCCTGTACCTAGACTCCTTCTTGACACATGGGAGTGCGCCATCCATGTTTGTTAAATATAGAGACTGTCTGATCCGTTATCCAAGGGCATGGCTTCATAAGTGTCTATCAGGACAGGTATGTTTGAAGGCAGTTCTTTGAAAATTAGTATTAAAAGAGAGAAACAGCTCTCTGGAGAAGCAGGAGGGAGTAGAGAGAAAACATGAGTGAGGAAATGGATGGAGAAACAGGCAAATGTTGTAAGCATGCAGAAAATGATTTTGAAAGCATAAAAAGTTGACATATAACAGTCAACTTTCTTTTAAGGTCATTTATAGAAAACATCTCAGTGTATTGACTATTTCACTGTTATAACAGGGTAGTGCTACTCATGACCGTATCTTTTAGTCTGTTGCTCACAAAAATGGAATATTTGAAATAAAAACAGACATCTTTCAGAAGAATTTTTATTTTTATTTTCTTTTTCCTAAGAGATAAACAAGGTAATAAAATGTATATGGCAAAAAAAGAATTGCATTATAACATGAAAATTGATTTATTTTCCTGGTTTCTATAGCAATAAATGAAGACGTGTGTGTGTGTGTGTGTGTGTGTGTGTGTGTGTGTGTTCAGCTTCATCCTCTTGCTAGGCAGATCAAAGGCATTTTTTTTTTTAGATTTGTATATTTTAGCATGAAATTAGTGCATAGTCAGTGGCCAGTTAACTCAGTTGGTGACTGCCTGGCAGTAATTAAAAAAAAAAAAAAGAAATTAGTACATAGACTCTGTGATATCTCAGGAAACATTTATTTCTAATCACTGAATAACAATAAATCAATAATGAAGAACTCTCATTAGAGCACTGACTAAACATGAGTTAATCTATACCAATTTCAGCGTTTTAGTATCTTACATTCCAGCCTCAGCTATAGTTTGCACTCTTGTGTCATGTGTGCTGTACAGGGTTCCTTAAGGCTGCAGAGAAATCACTGCAAGAAAGCTGTGCTTCGTAGCCACATCTATAAACAGTTATTATCTTTGCCAGATAGCAACATGGCGAAACAAGGTGTGTTATAGTCAGTTTTCATACAGCTATGAAGAAATACCCGAGATTGGATAATTCACAAAGAAAAAGAGGTTTAACAGACTCACAGTCCACAGGTTGAGGGAGGCCTCACAATCATGGCATAAAGCAAAGGTGGAACAAAGATACATACTCCATGGTTACAGGCAAGAGAGTGTGTGCAGGGGAACAGCCCTTTATAAAACCATCAGATCTCATGAGACTTATTCACTATCATGAGAACAGCATGGGAAAAACTCACCCCCATGATTCAATTACTTCTCACTGGGTCCTGCCCATAACATATAAAGATTATGGGCACTACAATTCAAGATAAGATTTGGGTGGAGTTAGATCATTCTGATGAATACAAGAGGTATATAATACTTGGGCAATTCACTAGTTGATAATACAGAATGTTTCAATAGGTTTATAGTTATTCATGAATACAGATTTTACCCAAGGTTTGAAACTTACTGAAAAATTGGCATAATAATACCAATATTTAAAAAAGAAACATAGTAATAAAACATACTTAATAACTACAAAATATAGAACTATTGAAAATTAAATTCAAGGACCCATAAATGTATACAATTATATGTCAAAAATAATATTTCTTAAAATTTTTTTAAAAAGTCTACCTCTGTCAATTTGTCAAACTAATTCCCCAGCCAGTTTTGTTCCCTCGCTGGTGAGGAGTTGTGATCCTTTGGAGGCAAAGAGTCATTCTGGTCTCTGGAATTTTCAGCCTTTTTGTGCTGTTTCTTTCTCATCTTTATGGATTTATCTAACTTTGGTGTTTGACGTTGGTGACCTTTGGATGGGGTTTTTGTGTGAACATCCTTTTTGTTGATGATGCTATTCCTTTCTATTTGTTAGTTTTCTTTCTAACAGGCAGGCCCCTCTGCTGCAGGTCTGCTGGAGTTTGCCGGAGATCCACTCCAGACCCTGTTTGCCTGGGTATCACCAGCAGAGGCTGCAGAACAGCAAAAATTGCCGGAAGCTTCATCCCAGAAGGGGACCCACCAAATGCCAGCCGGAGCTCTCCTATATGAGATGTCTGTCGATCTCTGCTGGGAGATGTCTGCCAGTCAGGCACTTGAGGAGACAGTCTGTCCCTTAGCAGAGCTCGAGCTCTGTGCTGGGAGATTCACTGCTCTCTTTAGAGCCAGTAGGCAGGAACATTTAAGTCTGCTGAAGGTGGCCCCACAGCTGCCGCTTCCACCAGGTGCTCTGTTCCAGGGAGATGCAAGTTTTATCTATAAGCCTCTGACTGGGGCTGCTGCCTTTCTTTCAGAGATGCCCTTCCCAGAGATCTAATCTAGAGAGGCCATCTGCTACAGCAACTTTGCCAGATGTGGTGGGCTCCATCCAGTCTGAACTGCCTGGCAGATTTGTTTACACTGTGAGGGGAAAACTACCTATTCAAGCCTCAGTAATGCCAGACACCCCTCTCCCCAGCAACCTCAAGCATCTCAGGTTGACTTCAGACTGCTGTGCTGGCAGGAAGAATTTCAAGCTAGTGGGTCTTAGCTTGCTGCGCTCTGTGGGGATGGGATCCGCTGAGCTAGATGCTTGGCTCCCAGGCTTCAGCACCATTTCCAGGGGAGTGAACAGTTTTGTCTTGCTGGCATTTCAGGCACCACTGGGGTATGAAAGAGACTCCTGCAGCTAGTTCAGTGTTGGCCCAAACAGCCACCCAGTTTTGTGCTTGAAACCCAGGGTCCTGGTGTTGTAGGCACCCAAGGGAACCCTCTGGTCTGTGTGCTGTGAAGACTGTGGGAAAAATGTAGTATCTGAGCCAGAATGCACTGTTCATGATGGCACAGTCCCTCATGGCTTCCCTTGGCTAGCAGAGGGAGTTCCCTGACCCCTTGTACTTCCTGGGTGAGGTGATGCTCCACACTGCTTCGGCTCACCTTCCATGGGTGCACCACTGTTTACCCAGTCCCAAGGAGATGAGCCAGGTACTTCAGTTGGAAATGCAGCAATCACCCGCCTTCTACGTTGATCTCGCGGGGACTGCAGACCAGAGCTGTTCCTATTTAGCAAATCAAAACCACAATGAGATACTACCTCATGCCAGTAAGAATGGTGATCATTAAAAAGTCAGGAAACAACAGATGTTGGAGAGGATGTGGAGACATAGGAATGCTTTTCCACTGTTGGTGGGAGTGTTAATTAGTTCAGCAATTGTGGAAGACAGTGTGGTGACTCTTCAAGGATCTAGAGCCAGAAATACCATTTGACCCATCAATCCCATTACTGGATATGTGCCCCCAAAATTATAAATTATTCTACTATAAAGACACATGCACACGTATATTTATTGCAACACTATTCACAATAGCAAAAACTTGGAACCAAGCCAAATGCCCATCAAAGATAGACTGGATGAAGAAAATGTGGCACATATACACCATGGAATACCATGCAGCCATAAAAAGGATGAGTTCATGTCCTTTGCGGGACATGGATGAAGCTGGAAACCATCATTCTCAGCAAACTAACATAGGAACAGAAAACCAAACACCACATGTTCTCACTCACAAGTGGGAGTTGAACACATGGACACAGGCAGGGTAACATCCCACACCGGGGGCCTGTCATGGGGTGCTGGGCAAGGGGAGGGATAGCATTAG